CTCAGGCCTGTGAATGCCCTGCAGTCTGTCCTGGCCGGTTCCCTCTGCTGTAGTGTGGGAAGGACACTTGCCCTCGCAGAGCTGTTGTGGGGACTGAGTAAGAGAGTTCACAAGGTTCCTAGCCAAATGCTTAATGCCTGCGATTCTCCATAAATGAGGCTGCTTGCTCTTATTATATCTAAAAGTGCCACATAGAATAATAGATGGAACTGCCCAGATATTTTTCTTCAGAAGCAAAATAATAAAGAACTGATTCTTTCCGAGCAAAGCTAGTCTTTTCTTTTCTCTCTTTCTTATTTTTTTTTCTCCTCCGTATTTTTTTAAGGTCTAGCATTTTCAGCTTTAAGTAACAGATTGTCCAGGAGTCTGTATGGTTTCCCTATAGGGATGGGAAAGGACACAAAGCAGCCATTTTGCCAGCTGCAGGCTTTCGCCCGGAGCAGTGCAATCGGGGTTTAAGTTCATGCCTCACAAACCTCCTCTGTTCACAGGCACGATTATTGTGACTTCGTCCTGTTACTGAGGAGCAACAAGCACCCAGAATGAGGAATATGTGTCCTACCTGAAATGAGAGACAGACACTTCCAGCTTTTTGGACTACAGATAGGAGATTCAGCGGTAGCGGTCCAGGGTCAGCTGGATGTGGGAGTCTCCCACGCAGGTCTCAGGATGCTGGGAGAGAAAGGGTCACAAGGCGGGCAATCTGTTTGGTTTGTCCAGCCCTTTAAAACATTGGCAGGTATTAGAGTTCTATTCTATGGAGAAAAATACATACAATTTCTAAATAGAAATAGTAATTACAGTTTTATTTCTGAGGGTGAGAAGTTAAAATAATTATGTAAGAATAAGGTGGGTAGTGGTTAATAAAACCTGATATAGTCACTTGATAGAATGGTAAGCATTCATTTCAAATGTTTACTTATTAAGTAACATGGAAAAATGCAATAACACATGGAAAATGCTTCTGAGTACATTTCAAGTGAAAAACAGGATAAAATTTGTTTATAACACAGAGCCTTCTACAATTCACGAGTGAAGCAGAGCCTTCCCAGTCCTGTCTGCCTTTTACAATGGCCAATAAAAAGCCTGTGTTTAGGTGGTGGGATGGTGATGTAATCAACAATCTAGCCAATCTCCCCGATGATTATTTGCATAGTTTTCTTCTCTTAATCCAACAGAACCAAATTTCTTCTAAGGAGAACAGTGTGGGGGAAGTGGATCTCTCTAAAAGAAAGGGGAGAAAATTACATCAACAAAGGAATACTTGTAATGATGTTGGTATCAAAATACAGTGATCAAAATGATTATATACTCTAGTCTCTCTAGAGGATACTTTCACCTTCAAGCAAAGCAGTCTACTTAGTATGCTTAAAATAGCTCTCTGAAAACTACCTACCCATTTTATGTTTAACATGTTTTTCAATTAAAATTAAGCTTTTTAAAATAAAATAATTTTAAGAAAATATTTTTTAAGAATTCCTACAGAATAGGAAACAATTTTCTTGCATAATCTATAAGCCTCTTGCTATTGGCTTTTTATTTCTCAGACTTAATTGATTTTACAAACAGAAACTAAAACCTACTCTATGCTTACCTGTTGATCTCAGCAATATATGCTCTGTAATTCAAACTTCTTCAGTTTATCAAGCTAAAGGAACTGCCTGTTGAGCAGGGGACAGGATTCCACAACCCGGATAGTTATCTGATTTGTACAGCTTGCTGGTTTAACAGCTTCGATACTACGAGGGGAGCTCCCTTTCATCAGCCTGACTGGGACTTCCTTTCAGAAAAAGCACTAAGCCGAGTGAGACAATTCTGCCTTTCCCATGTAACAGCCAAGAGGCTTGGACAAGGTCAATATTTTTGTTTCATTCAGGTTTACTGAGCACATACTATGTGTCGAGCGTTTTCACATGCATTATCTAGTTTAATCCTCACAATAACCACGTGCGGATAGATATTATTAGCCCCTGTTTATAGCTGAGAAAAAACAGGGTGGGAGAAATTGAGTGATTTGGTTACCCAAGAACACACAGGGAGTGACAGAACCATAATTCTTACATGGATTTTCTAACACCAAGACCAATGTTCTTCCCACTACAGCACATTATTTCTTCGTAATTAACTGGTGGTGCCAAAGCAGAAAGGAAAATTGTTACTCCTACGTAACAAATATAATTGCTTGCATTGTAAATGTGCAATTTTTTGTCTTATCTTGAACTTTGAAACATAGAATGTGCCTATATTTTCCCAAAGAAACCTGGGAAAAATGGAATGTTCCAATCCTTTAAACAAAATTGCAATCAAAATACTTTCAGTTTCTATTCATCTCCAGTACTCAAGAATTTACTATGGCTAATGAAAATTTGCTGTCAGCTTCAGACTGATGGTTGCAGGTCACACAGCTCTCTACACAGACTTCCCACTCCCGCTCCCTCAGCAGCGGCGTATTTGCTCCATAATGTGACATTCAGTGACAATCAGACTTGGGTAAGACATTTAAGTGAACTTCCAAGGATAGAACCATTGCAGTGTAACGTGCAACGCTTTTGAAACTGAATGACATCTCAGATTATAGGTGCGGCCCTCACTCCGTGCAGGCAATGTCTGAGTGCTTTGTAGGTTTGCATTTGTGAGTGACATTCTTTTGAGCTAATTACTGTAATAATCATAACTGACATGCCTTTTCCCATACAAACAACTTTTTGCCCACCCCATTACCCAACACCCTCTACGATAGATATTGTTAGTATCCTCCCTTGAAAACGAGTAGTCTTGGCATTAAGAGGTTAGAGATCTTGCCTGCTATCACATACTTAGTGGAGGGCAAAGCTAGGATTTGTCCTCAGACAATCCGGTCAGAGTCTGGGCTCCTAACTACCACGCTACCCTGCCTTTCCAAAATGGATTGTAGAGTGTTATTTGATTTAATGAAACACACCACAGATACTTTGTTGAGCTGCATCACACCTTGCAAATGTGACCACAAATAGAAAATTTCCTGTGTAAGGTAATATAAAAATCAAACGTAAAGCCACTTCAAGCCTTGGCTGGTGTAGCTCAGTGGATTGAGCACTGGCCTGTGAAGCAAAGGGTCGCCAGTTCGATTCCCAGTCAGGGCACATGCCTGGGTTGCAGGCCAGGTCCCCAGTAGGGAACACATGAGAGGCAAACACACATTGATGTTTCTCTCCCAGCCTTTCTCCTTCCTGTCCCCTCTCTCTAAAAATAAATAAATATAATATAAAAAAGAAGTCCATTAAAAAAGAAATAAAAATAAAATAAAGCCACTTCAACCTAGTACAGAAGTGAGACTGAGACATAAGTCAAAATAATACCGTCTCTGCTTCCTTCAAGCTTCATGCCAACTCCCTCTACTTCAGCTTAGACTCAGCTCTGTTCACCATTTGCTGGCAACTGCTTGCCCAAGGTCTGTGGAGACCCAAGGCTGGCCCAGGGTCTGTGGAGTCCCTGCACTTCTCTGGGGCCGGCCAGTCAGCGGGCAATAGACTCCAGTCAGTGGGCAGTGTACTCCTGGGTACATCTCCCGCCGTTGTACCTCGGGAATCTGCCCTCCCTGGTTCTGTCTGGATCTGCCTGGGTCTTCATGGCATTCTGCCTTTCCTTCACCATGAAAATGCTGAAGGCCTGTAGACTGTGTTTCTACACTGTGCCTCATACTGTGTAGCAGATGTTGGGGGTGGTTCTACATTCCCAGCCCATTCTATGTTCCCATCCTGTAAAAATGGGTAGTTTACAAAGTAAATTCTTAACAACTCAGGCTCTCCTAGGATATTCTACATTAAAATGAGTGGTTAGAATGGAAAGAATAAAACAGTCAAGAAACTTACAGGCTAGTAGGACTCAAGGGGGGCCAGTATGGCGTCGCGGGTGTAAAAAAGATTGTTACACTGCAAAATGCAGTAGAGATTATCACTGTGACACACAGACTCAGCGTCCCTTTCACTAACCGTCTAGGGCAATGGTTCTCAAATGTTAGCTTGTGTCAGAATTACCTGGAGCGCTTGTTAAAACAGATTTCTGGGTCCACTATTTCTGATTCAGTGGGTTTGGCTGATGTCCAATAATTTGCATTTCTGTCAAGTTTTCAGGTGATGCAGATGCTGCAGGTCCCTAGAACCACTGGCCTAGGCCGTTGGATGGGCCCAAAATCCTATCCACAGTGAGCATTCGGTAGGCACGCAGATGCCCTCGTTACTACCAGACTCCGTACCTTGGTTACCGCAGTACTCTCTTCTGCCTTCAGATTACTCACTGCAGTTTGTCTGAGATTTACGGAAAAAAAGAGCTTGCAATCTTTTCCTTCTCTTCCATATGTCTCAATCTCCTGCCATTAATACCCTATTTTATTTAAAAGCTGCTTTACAGTTTGCAAGGAACTCTCATACTCATTACCGTGTTTAAATATGAAATACTTTGTCATTCCCGAGCATAAAGCTAAGACTTATTAAAGTGGGGGAAGGGGCGATGGGGTAGAACACTCCGTCCTTTAGCATTTGCAGCGTGGAACGTAGCTATAGGTTTGTGTTTCAGACCAAGTTTATAAAGGGGATCAGGATATTCCTTACCGGAGGGATGTAAATAATATAATGTGCAAAGTTAGAGTAAAAAAAGCAGTGATGGCAAGCACCCCTACTGCGCCCCCTCCCCACCAAATAAAACGAGTGGGCGGGGGAGATCCGAGAGAGCCTTTCCTGGGAGGGTCCCTCCGGAGTCTGCTAAGACAGGTCCCGGGTGGCCCGCCGTCCCCCGCCGTCCCCTGCCTCTACTCCGCAGCCGCTCTCCGCAGTGCTAAAACGCAGCAGCACAGACCTCCAGACTTCTCCCGGGGGCTCGCACAGTGCAACCAACCCTAAAACGTGGCTGCGCGACGACCCTCCGCCCTCCGGGCTTCCCATTGGCCGGTCGCCGTTGTCATTTGCTCCTTGCCTCGCCTTCCCCTCGCGGGCGGAGGTGGCGGGCTGGGTAGGTTGCACTCGCCGTTGGCTCTGGTCGCGGTCGCGGCTTTGCAGCAGGCGGCGCGCCGGCGGGAAGCGGGCCACAGGGACCGGGGCGCGAGCGGGGAGCGAGGGAGCCGGGCGTGGCGCAGGCTCCGCGACCAGCCCATGCGGGGCGGGGGCCGGCGGCAGGGCCCGGGGCCCAAGCCGCCGCCGAGGGCGGTCGCGGAGGACCTGCCCGCCCGGCTGCCCCCTGCTCTGCCTCGCCCGGAGCCGGGCCAACCCAGAGGCATGTGCTGCGCTGCTCAGCTCCCCCACCCTGGCCATGCCCTGAAGCAGAAAGTTCGGGGTCTGGGGGCAGCCCTCCTCCCGCTCCAATGACCGCCCAAGGACTCCTGCTGGCCAGCTCGACTGTGCCCTGCCTTCGCTCCCCAGGTCGTAATGAACTATTCCAAGCTGTAACCAAGGCTGTCCTTCCTCGCCCCTTGCTCTTCCTCCTCTAAGAAGATTTATTTTTTAATTCAAGGAATTGTCATCCGTCCACTCCTTTCCTCGCTAATCGTTTAGACCCCAGGCCTCGTTTCTGAGTGTAAGAGGGGGCGCGGTCACCCCCAAGACGGCTCGCTGGAAGGACGAATTCCCCTGGCCGACCCACAGACACCATGAAGCGGTGCAAATCGGACGAACTGCAGCAACAGCAGGCAGAGGAGGATGGAGCTGCAGGGCTGGAAGATGCCGTTGGCCACCTGCCGGGCGCAGACCTCCGGCCTGGGGAGGCCACGGGTGCTAACTCTGCTGGCGGGCCAACTTCAGACGTGGGCGCTGCTCCGGTGCCCAACCCGGGTCCCCGAAGCAAGCCTCCTGACTTAAAGGTGAGCTCAGACCCTCCCCTGGCCATCCCAGCTCAGACGGTGACTTAGCTTTCCCCACCCCACGCAGAAGTGCTTAAAAGTAATGGGGAAGCCAGGCAAAGGTCAGAGAGGATGCTGGCCAGAACCCTGGGCTGGACTTCAGGCACCGTTTGTGCTTCGGTCTTTCAGCTCCATTTCGGGCTTCTGTGTTTCTTCCTCATTATTCAGCAGACGTTCTAGTGACTCACCCATACAATACTGTTTGAACGATATGTGTGAAGTGCTATTCTCAGACAAAGGGCTGGAGAAATCCAAGATGCTAACCCAAAAGTTAACATCACTTTTTCTCCTGTGAGATAGTAGGGGAAGAAAATGACAACGTGGAAAGCCAAGCAGAGGACCATTAGTTTCGTTTGCTGAATTAGTTTCCTCCTTTGGGGACCTTCCTGGATGAAGCTCAGTTTATCCATCTGTGAAAGGGGAGTGTGGATTTCTTGCCATTAGGTGGAGCCAGAGGTTAAGATAGTGCTTGGAGATCCCTGCCTGCCCGCTGCTGGCGGAACCAATCCCCAGGGTGGAACTGACAGGTGGCGGAGCCAGGCTTGGGCTGGTTTAGGGCGTCGGTTCAAGTTGCACACACGCTGAGCCGGCAGTTAGAACCAGACTTGGAGAAAGCCAATCACATACGGCTGGGAGTCGTTTATTTTTCAGCCTGGGGTTGCCGAGACAATTGTGGAGCTGTACTGAATATGTCTCTATATTAATTAGAACAGCAGCTGGGATAAAAATGCACCTTTGCTGGAGCTGCCACAGGGACTGCAGGCTCAGGCTTCTCAAGCCAGCTCACCTCCAGGCTGAGCGAGGAGATGTCAGCCCAAGGAAGGAATTTAGATGCCTTGGAGATTGATGCCTCGGGCGAGACTTTCTCCAGACAGGGTGCAAGGTCTTGACTAGGGGAGTGAAAGGACTCCGATATGTTAAATAAAGCCTGTATCCTATAGCAGCAGATACTAAGGAGCTCGCCCAAATAAGCCAATGACATTCCTCGTTTGGCCTGAGCGACTCAGAGTCAGGAAGTCAGAGCGCAGGTGAGTGTGTTCTTACCTGTGTGTGTTACCTGTCTTTATTCCGTGGGGAGGGATGAGAAGGGAATAGCTAGCTCCTGTGTGTAATTTTTAAAAATTGTAGCAGTTATTCGGATGTGGCCTCTGGTTCCTCTGTTGCCCTGTTTTCAGAGGTTTGGGGCCAGCCTTACATCTAAAGGTGAGCTCCAGTGGCTAGTCTGTACACAGGAAGCTGGGTGCCTGGCCCCACCACTGTCACGCTTCAACCCACCCTGTTTGCTCAGGAGGTGTGGGTCCTATTTTAAATATGATGGTGAAGGGACAGGGGTGCCCTTAATGCTGTTGGGTGGGGAGGCAGCCTTCTGCTGTAGACTTAAGCTTTGTTCTGGGCAAATCCAGATGAGTCTGGCCAGCAAACTCTGATTCCTTAATCAGATGGACCCTCACTCTGAGTCCAGCTGAGGCAGCCTCAGAAACTCCCCACGCTCCAGCTTAGGCCAGCGGTGGAAACTGTGGGCTCTGTTCATCTCCACCCCTTCTGCCCCAGGGTGGGCTGGTTGTGGCGTGAGAGGGTTGCAGTGTCTGTCTTTGTAGATAAAAAGCTACTTTCAGAAGCTTGTCCACCTCGCCCGCCCTATGTCATCTTTCTCTCTCTCTCTCTCTCTCTCTCTCTCTCTGGTGACACCTTCACGCTGGTTTCGGCAGATGTAGCAGCTTGATATGAAATGCTGAACTTCCCTGAGCCAAAATTAAGACCAGGTGTGACCAGGTGTTGGCTGTCCCCTCATACACATACACTCCCACCCCCCAAAAAACATACCACCGAGGTGGATCCCAGCCATGTGGACCCAGGCTGACAGCAAGGAGGACGAACAGAGCTGCTGCCTGCTCAGGGAGGGTCTGGGGAGACGAGTGGAGCTATTTATCTGTCTGCTTTCTCACATGTTCACAGCATAGGGACTTCCGAACCAGACATGAACTTGGGGTCTCTTGCAATTTGACTTGCTCTGTGATCTCAGGCAAACCACTCAGCTTTTCTGAGCCCTTTTTCTGGGGAAAGGGACTAGAAATATTGAAGTGTGTCCAAACTTGTTTTCCAATGCTGGCACAGTTTTCCAACAATGAAAAAATTCCATCATTGGCTCCAGCACTGGGTAGAAGCTGACCTGTTTTAGATTTAATGGTGGTACCAGAAAGGGGCAAGTTTAATTTTGAACATTCCCTACTTTGTACCTCTCTTCCACCTAGGGAGACCAGCAATTCTGGCTTGCTTTTGTTTTTGTTTTAAACTTTGGAGATAGGAACTCTCCGCCCTTTAGTCCACTTCTATTTTCTTGTCACAGCTTCAGGCATTGTGATGGATTTAAGTGTATTGGAGGAAATCATCTTGAGAAAGGGGCGAGAAAATAAGAGGCTTTGTCTGAAGTCCCTCCACTGAGGTGGCGGGTAGGGAGAAGAGAAAATGTAGAGAATTTTAGTCTTTGCCAAAGAGATCTGAATAATGCCCTAACTGGTGGCAGCCAGAGGTGTGCAGGGCTCCCGTGTTCTCCCTCCCCTCCCTGGGTGAGGTGGGGCATCCCACTCTGCACTGAAAAGTTCTGCTCAGGTGGCCTGGGCTCTGTGATTATGCAGCGGGAAAGGCCAGTGAAAAGAAGGGAAAATTGTTAAGTAGCAATCTTAGAAGAGCAGTCATACAGTGGGAACTGAAAGGTGACCTGACCATGAACATCGCCCCACAGAAGGCTTGTGCAGGCAGCTAGGTCGGGGCCGGAGGGCTCAGCAGACGCTGCTGGGGCAGAAGCCCAGCAATCCAGAGTCACGTCCCTACTCTCTGTGGCTTGAATCCCTGTTTAACCACGTGAGCTCGTCTTGATTCTTTCGTCGTCATCATCATCCAGTCCTTTGCTAAGCCCCGGAAAGCAGGGAACCCCCACCCCCTCCCCTCCCCCACCCCCTGTGGTGCAGCAGGAGGAATTGAGCCTTTCCTGAAAGGGAGGGTCCAGAGGCCTCCCCTGGACTTCCCCTCAGGTTCTCTCTCCCCTCACAAAAGCCCCTGCGAATAATTTCCCCAGGGATTTCCAAGCGGTGTTCATACTCCCTCCCCAGAAAAAGAGGGGGGGAGCAGATCCAAATTCCATTATTCCAGTCCTGGTTCGAAGTGCTTTTGACTCAGGGATCCTCTGGGTTCTGGTGGGAGTGCTTCAGTTCCCTCCATAGGCCGTGCAGCCTTCCCAGGAAGATCAGGAAAAGCAGGCAGAAGCCCCGGAGCCGAGGGGGAGGCACAGCTGAATCCTCCGCCTCTACTTTCAAGCACAGGTGCTCCAGCCCCCGAAGGAGGCCCCGGTTCCTGACTCGTGTAGAGAGCCCACTGGAGAAGGGGTCCTGGGTCCCCAGGTACCAAGTGCCTTCTGGGGAAAGGCACACCTTTAACCTGTGAAATATGTCATGCACATACACGTGTCTGAAAAGACACACATGGTTTAAATAACAAGCACAAAACAGACACCCCATCTTTTTACTGCCCAAGTCAAGAAAGAACCCCTCGGCATTCTCAAGAAACTCCTGCTTCTTTTTCTGTTCTGCCGTTTATTTGTTGTTGTTTTTTAAGGCCTAGGATTTTGATAAAACCAATAGGTCTCAGTCTCTCCACCTTTTCAGTGGAGAAAAACTAGTTACAAGAATGTGGGTGGGATGAAGGCGCGTGTGCGCTCCTGGCCCTGAGGGGAGGTGCCCATGGCGGAGTGTGGCTTTCTGTGCACCCTGGGGCTCCGAGTTCTACTTCAGAAGTGATGTGCTCAGGCCTGAAGATTCCTGCAGTGGGAGCTACACCGCTGGGATAGGTTTCATGACAGGGTCCTGGGGGAGGGGAGGGGCGCAGAATTGAGGTAGACCTAAGAACAAAGAAATGGAAAATTAGTTCTTTAGCAACAGGCACTGCCTCCGCCTCCAGGTGAGCTCCCAGTCAAACATGATGAAATAGCAAGAAAGTCATCCATGGAAGGACACATGAGTTTAAAGTTGCTTTGAGCATGACGCGATGGAATCACATGGACAGATGTCCTGGGGGAGGTGGACATGAAGCAAGATATTAAAGTAAGGGTGGAATGTTAATTACCCAAGAAGAGGATCGGGACTTTCCAGATGGGAAGTCAAATAGCAAGCGGCAGGTGGTGCGGGCCAGTGCCCTTTTTGGCTGGAATGGCAGTTGTTTTCTGTCCTGTAAATTGGTCAGGGACAGTGGAGGGTGCTGAAGAATGGTGAGGCCGCCTATTTTTGTCCCACCTGCACTTAATATGAGGGGGCAGGGGATCCTGAGGCCTGGGATTGCCCTACCCCCACTCACTCTGTCTTCAGTAATATCCAGAGCAGCCCCGTATGTGTGCTCGGGGGGAACTGGCGCCCGATGGAAAAGCATGTGGCAAAAGAAGCTCTCTGTTCTCCTGCCACATACTGGGTTCTAGATGAATTCCCAGCTGCCTAGTTCCAGTGGGAACTGTCTTGCAGGCTCAGTATTTACAGAATGTCCTTTTTGTGTTTCTAATTGTGTCTTAACTGCCAATCCCATTAACCAGAATCTCTCCCTAAACAGGGATTGAAAACATCTAATAGGACCTGAACTTGAGGTTGAGGTTTAAAAAAAAGCGTGGATGTCAGAGGCTGGGAAAAAGCTCAGTGGTCTTCTTGGTGATGGTCCTGGAGACCAACTTGAACCTCATCTCCATTTTCATCTCTCCTGTAAGAAATTGCATCTCCCTGTGACGTTCTTGTAGGCCAGGAGGGTCATTCTGAGAACACGGACTTTACTGGACAGGGGCCATCTCTCTCAGCCAAACACTTAAGCCTCTTTCCATGCTAAGGAGTTAGAACAAAGCTGTTGAGGGATAGCAGGCATGTGTTGTGATTGTGTGAAAAAGGCAGTATTTGACTTTTCAGATCAAATGGTTAATGGCTTCCTTA